CAGATTTGATTTGAATCCTGACCCTGATTCCCACTTGTTTTGTGGACAAGCCCACTACTCTTCCTCAGCTTTGCTTTCTCAACCACAGATTGAGAAGAAGTTGCATTTGATTGCTTAACGCCCATTTAAGTGAGCATCTACTGTGTGCCAGGCCCTGTTCTGGGCACCAGGGACATGGTAGTAGAAAGATGAGCCCAGGTTTGCCCTCCCAGGGTTCTCAGTCCAGTAGGGGACCTGAAAATGTCACCGAGCTGTTAAAATACAAGGTGTTGGCTGGGCACGGTGGCTCATGCCTGTAATCCCAGCACTTTGGGAGGCTGAGGTGGGTGGATCATGAGGTCAGGAGTTCGAGACCAGCCTGGCCAAGATGGTGAAATCCCATCCATACCAAATATACAAAAATTAGCTGGGTGCAGTGGCTCACACCTGTAATCCCAGCTACTCGGGAGGCTGAGGCAGAAGAATCGCTTGAACCCCGGGAAGTGGAGGTTGCAGTGAGCCAAGATCGCACTACTGTACTCTAGCCCGGGCAACAGAGCAAGACTCTGTCTCAAAAATAAAAATAAGCCTGGCGCAGTGGCTCAAGCCTATAATCCCAGCACTCTGGGAGGCCGAGGCGGGTGGATCACGAGGTCAAGAGATCGAGACCATCCTGGTCAACATGGTAACCCCGTCTCTACTAAAAATACAAAACATTAGCCGGGCGTGGTGGTGTGTGCCTGTAATCCCAGCTACTCAGGAGGCTGAGGCAGGAGAATTGCCTGAACCCAGGAGGCGGAGGTTGCGGTGAGCCAAGATCGCGCCATTGCACTCCAGCCTGGGTAACAAGAGTGAAACTCCGTCTCAAAACAATAAAAATAAAAATAAAAAATAAAAATAAAAACGGGCCAGGCGAGGTGGCTCACGCCTGTGATCCCAGCACTTTGGGAGGCCAAGGTGGATGGATCACAAGGTCAGGAGATTGAGACCATCCTGGCTAACACAGTGAAACTCTGTCTCTACTAAAAATACAAAAAATTAGCCAAGTGTCACGGCACACGCCTGTAGTCCCAGCCACTAGAGAGGCTGAGGCAGGAGAATTGCTTAAACCTGGGAAGCAGAGTTTGCAGTGAGCCGAGATCGCGCCACTGCACTCCAGCCTGGGCGATAGAGCAAGACTCTGTCTCAAATAAATAAATAAATAAAAACTAAAAATTTAAAAATAAAAACAAGGTGTTAGGGCTGGGCGCAGAGGCTCATGCCTGTAATCCCAGTGCTTTGGGAGACTGAGGCAGGAGGATTTCTTGAGGCCAGGGGTACACACACACACACACACACACACACACACACACACAGAGAGAGAGGAGAGAGAGAGAGAGAGAGACACGAATGTCCTTGCCTAATCTAGAGGGGCTTCAGGCACAGCTTGATCAAGGTGCCCCATCATTGAGTCTCCGTCCTGAACTTAGCTCTGTTTTCCTCCCCTGGCTTCTGCCAGAAGGCAGATCTCATATTGGTCCTCAGCTGATCCCAGCTGGTATTTCCCCAGCCTGGTGCTGCCTCCTCTGCAGTTCTGGACTAAGCCCCAGGGCTGGCTCTCATCAGCCCTCACTGAGTCATGCCCTGTAGCAGCTGCTCCGAACCACAGACATATCTCCCTGATTCAGGGCGTTCTCTCTGCCCAGAGCTAAGGTTCCTGGGAGCAGTCCTTGGCCAATGCTTGTTGAACATGGTGGGGAGAAATACCGAAGCCTTCCCACTCTCTGGGTGGGGTAATTATCTGGTGTTCTTTCTCTTTCTTTTCTTCTTGTTTTTTTGTTTGTTTTGTTTGTTTGTTTGTTTTGAGACAGAGTCTTGCTTTGTCACCCAGGCTGGAGTACAGTGGCACAATCTCGGCTCCCTAGAACCTCGGCCTCCTGGGTTCAAATGATTCTACTGCCTCAGCCTCCTGAGTAGCTGAAACCACAGGCACGCACCACCACGCCCAGCTAATTTTGGCATTTTTAGTAGAGATGGGATTTCACCAGGTTGGCCAGGCTGGTCTTGAACTGACCTCAGATGATCTGCCCACCTCGGCCTCCCACAGTGCTGGGATTACACGCGTGAGCCACTGCGCCGGCCATGTGTTTTCTGCACTGTCCCCTAGAGACCCTCAGCCAGACCGAAGCCTGGTCCTCAATGGTCATAGTTGTCCTCTCCATGGGGTCTGGTTCACAGCCCGGGCTCCCACAGCTGCTTCTGTGTCCCAGTCTCAGCCCCACGTCCTTACTTGGGCTCTTTATTTATTTATTTTGTTTGAGACGGTGTTTGGCTCCGTGTCCAGGCTAGAGTACAATGGCGCGATCTTGGCTCACTGCAACTTCTGCCTCCTGGTTCAAGCGATTCTCCTGCCTCAGCCTTCCGAGTAGCTGGAATTACAGGTGCCTGCCACCACACCCGGCTAATTTTTGTATTTTTAGTAGAATCGGGGTTTCACCATGTTGGCCAGGCTGGTCTTGAACTCGTGACCTCAGGCGATATGCCTGCCTCAGCCTCCCAAAGTGCTGGGATTACAGGCATGAGCCCCCGCGCTGGTCTCTTATTGAGGCCGTCAGCCAACGCAAGAGTGCTGAGTCCTAGCACCGTGTCCTTGCAGTTTTACAAATCTCTGACTCGGCTACGACCACTGTACCCATCTTCCAGATGCAGTCACTGACGTTCCAAAAAGTGAAGTTTCTTTTCCTGCCCGGAATGACTAAGGACTCTCTATGCCCAGGGGCAGCAGCAGATTGGGCTGCCCTCCCTCCAAACACACACACCCACACGCAGGGGCACACGGGCACACACGTGCCTTCTGCCTCCCAGACACCCGCCTGATACTCGCTGGCGTCTGCACGGCTGACATTGTAAATCCACCCTCCCTCAGGGGCAGGCTGGCTCCTTCTCTGCCAGCAGGGAGGAAGATGCAGGGAGTTGGTTGAGTGGGGCGGGGGGCGCCCTTGACCCCAAGCCCAGCCGCTGACCCCAGGGAGGGTGACATCACCTCCCTCTCTTCCAGTGACCTTGGGGAAGTTCCAGGAGACCCCCGGGGCTGGACATTGAGAGGTGGGGGGTTCGCTCCCTCCTCCGTCCGGCTCGGGGCCCCCCCACCCACTCCCTTTCTCAAGAGGCCTTGGAAAGGGTCTTGCAGAGACAGACAGATGGGCTCGGGACAGACGGACGACGGACGTGTGGGAGTTACCACTGGGGGAGGGGAGTGCGTTCTGGCCCCGCAGAGGAGTCCCCCAGGCGCCTGCAGAACAGAACAAGCTGCCTCCTCCAAGCCCCCCAGCTGGGATCTCATCCCCCCAACCTCCCCCTCCCCCCCGCCCCGCATCTCTCTTTCGGGGCGTTCTCTCTGCCCGGATCTAAGGTTCCTGGGAGCAGTCCTTGGCCAATGCTGGTTGGACGTGCAGGGGGGATAAATACCCCAGCTTTCCCGCTCTCTGGGTGGGGCAGTTCTCTGGGTTTTCTTTTTTTTTTTTTTTTTTTGAGGCAGGGTCTTGCCCAGACTGGAGTACAGTGGCACGATCTTGGCTCATGGGGGTCCCGTCACCCCACAAACAGAGTCCCATCCCCCTGCAACCAGGGTCCCACCATCCCCCCAGACGGAGTACCATCGCCCCCCATTCAAGGTCCCATAGCTCTTCCAACCGGGGTCCCGTGTCTCCGACCTGGGACAGAGGCCCAGAGAAGGGGGGTCGCTCGCTGCGGGTGGCACAGCCCGGCGGGGTGCGAGGCCTGTTCTGGGGGTACGGGTGACGCTGACGGGTCTAGGCTCCGGGGAGACTCGGGCCCGGGGACCCCGCCCCAGCCGCGGGTTCCCGGGAAGCGAAGGCGCCGCCAGCCCGGGCTGTGGGCAGAGCGCGCCCTCTGCCGGGCGCGATCGGAAGTGGCGCAGCGGCGACCCCCGGGGCCCCGGGGACTCCCACCTGGCTGAGCTTTACCGGGTTATAGGGCCCCCATCTCTGGATGGAGCCCCCGACCTCCTACGGAACCGAGACACTGAGCTGAGCTCCCGCCTTGGGCTAAACCTCAATCCCAGTAGAGCTGGGACCCTGGCTGAGACCCCAAATTTGGATCGAGCCTCTGATGCCTCTTTGAGCCCTGGTCCTGAGCTGAGCCTCAGTATGAGTCTCCATCCGCCTGAGCCCCCATTTCAGCGCTGAGCCCCTCTCTAGGCTGGGTCTGACCCGGGATAGAGCCGGTGAGCCCGCCTAATTCCCGACCCTGGGCTGAGCCTGGACCCTCACGAGAGCCTCTAGCTCTGGGCTGAGCCTGGACCTCGGGCTGCACCCTTACCGTGGACAGAGCCCAATCGCAGCAGAGCCCCTGTTCTTCCTGAGTCCCATCTCCCGGTGAGCCTGCACTCCCGGCCAAGATCACCCCTCCCTCACACACCCAGCTGAACCCCAGCCCTCCAGAGCCCCAACTTTCTCATCTGATCTAGAAAAGAGACCAGGTGTGGTGGCTCTCACCTGTAACCCCAGCACTTTGGGAGGCAGAGGCAGGAAGATCACGTGAGGCCAGGAGTTTGAGACCAGCCTGGCCAACATAGTGAGACCTCCCTTATCTCTATAAAAAAAATTAAAAATTGGCCTGGCCAGGTGGCTCACCCCTGTAATCCCAGTACTTTGGGAGGCCGAGGCAAATGGATCACCTGAGGTTGAGAGTTCAAGACCAGCCTGACCAACATGGAGAAACCCCATCTCTACTAAAAATACAAAATTAGCTGGGTTTGGTGGCACACGTTTGTAATCCCAGCTGCCCGGGAGGCTGAGGCAGGAGAATCGCTTGAACCCAGGAGGCGGAGGCTACTGTGAGCCGAGATTGCACCACTGCAATCCAACCTGGGAGACAAGAGCGAAACTATGTGTCAAAAAAAATTTTTTTTAATTAGCGGAGCATGGTGGTGCACACCTGTGATCCCAGCTACGAGGTGACAGGATTGCTCCAGCCCAGGAAGTTGAGGTCGAAGTGAGCTGTGATTGCACCACTGCACTCCAGCCTGGATGACAAAATGAGACTTTGTGTCTGAAAAAAAAGACAGATAAAAGGCCAAATCACACTATCATGCTAGGCTCAGATGCCCACAGTCCCCCTGCCCTGATGGGGAAACCCCCTTGATCAAGCTGGGGCTGCCGAGAGGAGCTGTAGACACAACACCACAGTCAGATCCAATCAGGTCCTAATCTCACCCCTCCCCCGTCCTGGCTGTGTGGCCTGGGACCAATCACGTCCTCCCTCTGGGGCTCCATTTCATCATCTGTGAAATGGGACAGTCACTCCTGACCACCAACTTGTGCCTATGTGACCTCAGGGAAGTGACTTCCTCCCTCCTGGCCTCAGTCTCCTCCTCCAAAATGAAATCAGGAGGTTTTTGTTTTGTTTTGTTTTTTGAGATGGAGTCGCCCAGTGCCGTGATATCAACTCCATGCAACCTCTGCCTCCTGGGTTCAAGTGATTCACATGCCTCAGTCTCCCAGGTAGCTGGGACTACAGGCGTGAACCACCACGCCTGCCTAATTTTTTTGCATTTTTGTATTTTTCATTTTTTGAGATGGAATCTTGCTCTGTGGCCCAGGCTGGGTGACAGTGCAGTGCCATGATCTTGGTCCACTGCAATCTCTGCCTCCACCAAAGTTCAAGTTGCGGGAAGAAGAATGGTTCCTTTTTAAAGTTTTCTTGTTAAAGAGCAAGTGTGCTAATAACTTTGTGAAGCCCTGTCCTATGTAGCTGTTGGACATGCCATGCTCACAGGCACGTAGTACATTCTATGTCCTTGTACTTTAATCAAGATATCTGTGCTGGACGTGCTCACAGGCATGTCACATCTCTCCATTGCTTTTACCTGTTTATTTTTAGACGGAGTTCCGCTCTTGTTACCCAGGCTGGAGTGTAGTGATACGATCTCGGCTCACCGCAACCTCCGTCTCCTGGGTTCAAGCAATTCTCCTGCCTCAGCCTCCCGAGTAGCTGGAATTACAGGCACGCGCCACCATGCCCAGCTAATTTTTGTATTTTTAGTAGAGACGGGGTTTCACCATGTTGACCAGGATGGTCTCGATCTCTTGACCTCATGATCCACCCATCTCTGCCTCCCAAAGTGCTGGGATTACAGGCGTGAGCCACCGCGCCCGGCCCTAAAAAAGTTTTAAGTTGTTAGCCAATCGGGTTTTGGTTTAGATTGTGAGGTCTGGCTCCAGCCAACGGAGATCAGGCACAGCAGTAAGGACAACCCCAAATGCATAAGGAATAAATGTCTGTGTATTCCCTTTGTTCTTTGTACTCTTTTGGCACGATGGCTATCGGGAGTACCCTCCCTGCAGCCCAGGAAGCAGAAATTGTGTTGCTGAAAGATCCTTTGTCTTGGTGCTAATTTTTCTTTGCAGCACCCAGCATCTATTTCCAACAAAGTGATTCTCTGCCTCAGCCTCCAGAGTAGCTAGGACTACAGGTGTGCACCACCACACCCAGCTGATTTTTTTATTATTTTTAATTTTTTGAGATGGAATTTTGCTCTGTTGCCCAGCCTGGAGTGCAATGGCCTGATCTCGGCTCATTGCAACCTCCTCTCCAGGGTTCAAGCGATTCCCCTGCCTCAGCCTCCCTAGTAGTTGGAATTACAGGCATGTGCCACCACACCCGGCCCATTTTCGTATTTTTAGTAAAGACGGGGTTTCACCATGTTGGCCGGGCTGGTCTCCAACTTCTGACCTCAGGTGATCCGCCCACTTAGGCCTCCCAAAGTGCAGGGATTACAGGCGTGAGCCACCGCGACCGGCCAATGAGATATTGAACTTACTTTTGCCTCCTGAGGCCTGCGCCCCAGTCTTCCTGAATCCGGTGTGCAGCTGAGGACATACCACAGGCCCTCAACAATGTGTCGTCTGGTTTCCTGGAGGAAAAAGCAGCGGCGTTGCTATGGGCTCCCTGGCCCTAGCCGTAACGCGGACCCAGCGTTGGGGCTGCAGGGCGGAAACAGAGCTGCAGGGGAGCTGGGAGCCGCTCCAGGGCCTGGTTCCCAGGACCCACAGCTGCATCCTCCCTGGGGGAGCCCAGCTGGAGCTGCGCAGCTGGGAGGTTCCCGTGTGTCCTTCAAGCTCATTCCTACGGAAATCGAGGCTGGACCTTTGGGATCCTCTCCAGGTGCCGTCCACCTCACCCCAAAGACTCATCTATAGCCCCACAAACCTGGGTCAGATTCATCCCTTCTGGTGGCACAGGAATCTGTATTTTTAACTTTTTATTTTATTTTATTTTATTGAGATGGAGTTTTGCTCTTGTTACCCAGGCTGGAGTGCAATGGCGCGATCTCGGCTCACCGCAACCTCCGCCTCCTGGGTTCAAGCAATTCTCCTGCCTCAGCCTCCCAAGTAGCTGGGATTACAGGCGCACGCACCACCATGCCCAGCTATAACTTTTTATTTATTTTTTTTATTTTTATTTTTCTGTAGAGACAGGGTCTCCGTATGCTGCCCAGGCTGGCTGCAAACTGCTGGATTCAAGGGATTCTTCTGCCTTGGTCTCTCAGTGCTGGGATTCCAGGCCTGAGCCACCACACCTTGCTGGAATCTGCATTTTTAAAGGGGCTCCCAGATCTTTCTGATGCGAACGGTTCCCCGAGGCCGTACTTTGAGAAACATCCTTCTGCCTAAATTTCTATGACCCAGGTGGGTAAACTGAGCCCCAGAAGGAGGAAGGGGCCCGTGCAGAAACACGTGGTCGGTCTGTTTTGCTTTTGGCTCCCTGCTCTCTCCCTGTGGGGTCTCTGTGCCTCCCTCCCCAGGTTCTCTTTCTTCCCCTTTCTGTGACCAGCGCCTCCACGACAGCCTCGCCCCCGCATCCGGGCCCCTTCGCGATTCCGGAGGAATCCCCCAGAGCCGCCTGACCCCGCCCCAGGCTCCGCCCCTTCCCCGTCCTCCCCCTCTCCGTCGCAATGCCCTGCTCTCATTGGCCTCTTTGTACAGCGCCCGCGCTGCCATTGGCTAATCCGGCGCGCTCGGCCCGCCCCCCACGCCTGGCAACCCTCCGGTCCCTGTCGCGCGGGCGGGGAGGGGAGGGGCGGGGCCTGCTGAGGGGCGAGGCCAGTGGAGGGCGGGGCCGAACTGCCCGTCCCGCCCCGGCCCCGGCCACGGCTCCGGCGCTGCTCCCACCGCCCCGGCAACTGCCCCGGCCCACGGAGGCGGCTGGACGGACCCCGGAAGGTCGGACGCACGGACTCTGCTCCAAGAGCAGGTGAGCGAGCAGGGCCGGGGCGCCCTCCGTTTCAGCGCATCCCGGGGGCCACCTGGCCGCCCTCTGTCTCTCTCGCCCGATAATGCCTCTGCACCCCACCGTCTGTCTGTCGGTATTCCTGCCTCAGTTTCCCTCTGTCTCTCTGTCACTGTCGCTGTATAGGTTAGGGGGAGGCAGGTTGAGTCTCAATTGACCCCCCTTGGCGTTGGGCTCTGCTCTGGGACCAGCATCCCCACCCCCCCACCTCGACTCTGCTGGACTCTGCCCCTTTAACTACAGGGCTGCAGGTGCTCAGGCCAGCTTCCAGAGCCCCGAGGGCATTCCAGGGGTGGGCAGCCGGGCCAGCCGTGCGGAGGTGGGCATGACTGTAGCTTCTGGCCAAACCAGGCATCGGTGACGGGGAGCCAGGCCCAGGCCTGCCCGCCCAGGCCCACCCAGACCAGCCCCTAGCGAGCTCCCAAGTGGCCTGTGGGGCCTCGGCCTCAGTTTTGCCAGCTGTGAACTGGGACCGTCGCTGCCAAGGTAATTGGCAGGTGATCCGATGCACATCTGTCGCCTCCTGGCCTTTTCTGTGAAGTGGAACTGGGCTCATTTCCTGAGGGTAAACTAAGGGCTAGAAAGAGGCCAATGCTTCCGTTGTTGGGCCAGGGCGGTGGGGACAGAGGCACGCGGAATCTATTTTCTCTGCATCCTTCTCTATGGTGGGGGGAAGGGCTGGGGGAGGAGCAGCCCCAGGTGTAAACAGGCCACCAGAGGTTTTTTCCTGAGCCCGTCCCAGCTCAGCTGGGGACGGTGAACGCCCCGGGAGGCCCCCTGGGGTCAGCCTGGTGGTGACAGAGCTTGGACAAATCGAGGTTTGAGCTCTGGACCCGCATGGCACCTTGAACCAATTTTTCAATTCTTCTGAGCCTGTTTCCTTGTCTGTAAAATAGGAGCGGGTCACAACTCCCCAGCTGAGGGCTGCTGGGGGATCCCACCAGATACAGGCCCTGCTCAGAACCCCCGGCCACGCGGGCCTCCTCCTGTTCCTCACCCCAGGTGAGGTCCTGCCTCAGGGTCTTTGCACGGGCTGTGCCCTCCGCCACCACCGCAGGTCTGAGGGCGCCAATTTTGAAACATAACAAGCTCCCAGGACAGGCCGGGCCAGGACCTGCACAGGCAGGGGGTGGGAGGGGTGGAGGAGGGGCCCACCCAGGGCTGTACCTATGGAAACCGTGAACAAAGGGCTGCCTCCAGCCACACAAACACCTGGGTGAACGGAGCACTGAACAGAGGCTGGAGCAGCCTGGGGTGTAGGTGCTGGGTGAGTGCCTGGACCCCTGGGGGAAATACGGGCCTGGGGGGGGGGGACTTGAACCCTAATCTGATGGTGGGGTGCCAGGGGGTCCCTAAGGAAGAGACTCTGCAGATGGGTACAGGTCTGAGGCCCCACGGTGTGGCCCCTCCCGCTGTGTGGCCTGGGACCACTGGTCAGGTTTTCCCAGAGCCTCAGTTTCTCCTCATCCCCGTTCCCCCAGGGGTCAGCCCAGGTGGGCAAGGGGTCTTTTGATTGACAATTCAATAAGGTGGGTTCTGGAGGCCTCAGTGTCCCTGTCTGTCCAATGGGGCCAAGAGAGGGTGCCTTGAGGACAGAACAGCCGTTGTCAGGGAAACACTCAGCTCAGAGAGAAGTCAGCCCTAAAAAGTGACTCACACCTGCCCAGGTACAGCCTGAGGCATTACAGACCAGGAGGGGCTCGAGGAGGCAGAGAGGGGCAGGAACCGAGGCCCAGTTCCACAGGGTGCCCGCCCCTTCCCAGCACCCCGACACACCTCAGCAGACGACCTCCCTGAAATCACACCTGCCCAAGCTTTGACCCAGGTACCTCTAGCAGAGTTCTTGGCATCTTGTAAATCCCCAGCTTCTGGGCCTCAGTTTCCCCATCTGTCCAACAGGACTGGTCATCTCCTTTTTCTTGTGGAAAGAGGCTGAGATAACTAGGGGGAGGGAGGGTGCTTTGAGGGGTGGCAAGACGTCAAAGGCCCGAGGAGGGGACAGCAGGACACAATGCTTCCAGAAGCTTCCTAAAGCTTCGACACTTCCCCTCTGGGGTGGGCTCTAGGAGAGGAGACTTGAACCCCAAATATGCAGTGGGCTGGGACGAGGAAAGGATTGCGCTGGTTTAAAGGCTGGGTTCAAATTCCGATTCTGCCACGTTACTGCTTTATAAACAGGCAAGCTCCTGGCCCTCTCTGACTCAGTTTCCTCATAACCACAAATTTGCAGGTCCTTCTAGAGAATTTCCCAGCCTGGGCAACATGGCAAAACCCTGTCTCTACTTAAAGACAAAAAAAAAAAAAAAAAAACCCAGGCATGGTGGCGTGCACCTGTAGTCACAGCTACTTGGGGGGCTGAGGTGGGAGGATCACCTGAGCCCAGGGAGGTTGAGGCTGCAGTGAGCCGAGATCACGCCACTGCATTCTAGCCTGGGCAACAGGAGTGAGACCCTGTCTCAAAGAAAAAGAAGAGAATTGGCCACGTGCCATGGCTCACGCCCGCAATTCCAGAACTTTGGAGGTAGGTGGGTGGCTCACCTGAGGTCAGGAGTTCAAGACCAGCCTGGCCAACATGGCAAAACCCCGTCTCTACTAAAAATATAAAAATGAGCTGGGTGTGGTGGTGGGTGTCTGTAATCCCAGCTACTTGGAAGGCTGAAGCAGAAGGATCACTTAAACCCTGGAGGCAGAGGTTGCAGTGAGCCAAGATCATGCCACTGCACTCCAGTCTGGGTGACAGAGTGTGAAATTCCGTATCAAAAAAAATTTTTTTTTAATATTTACATAAATAAAATAGATGGGGGATCTGGGAGGGTCTCTTGAAGAGGGGGCATGTCTGCCCAGGCCTGGATGACAAGAAAGAAACAGCCATGTGGAGACCTGGGGGAAGGGCAGCTCAGGCAGAGGGCACAGGTGGTGCAAAGGCCCTGGGGCAGGACCGTGCCTGGGTGTTGGAGGAGCAGCAAGGAGGCTGGTGGGGCTCGAGCAGTGAGGAGGGTGAGAGAGGGAGGAGGGGAGGGCAGGGAAGGAACAGGCAAGGTGTGTAGGGTCTTGTGGGCTGCCGGGAACACTTGGCTTTGACCCCAAGGGAGGTGGGAGCCATGGAGGGTGGTGGGCAGGGGAGGGATGAAACCTGACTCAGGTGGTCATGGCACCCTCTGGCTGCTACAGGAAGGATAGATGGGGGCATGGAGGATGGTGCCACAGGACGAGGGGACCAGGATGGAGGCTGTGGGGGAGGTAAGAAGTGGGTTGCACTGGGACATATTTAGGGGCTGCATGCACCTCCTCCCAGGTGGCCCTAGGCTTCTGTGCACTGTAAGAATCTTTTGCTCAGGCCGAGGCAAGTCTGTCCCCTCCTCTGCAGATCCATGGGCTGTGGGTACCTGATATTCGTGCTTGGCCCCCAAGCCCTTTCTTCAGTGAACGTTTGGCCACCAGTGAAGGTGACCAGGCTCCTCGTCACAACCCAGCAGGTGGCTGGACCCTGCCCATCCGTGGGGTGGTCCTGAGGGTTCTGGGGAACCCAGTTTGAGAACAACTGATGTCACCCCCAACCTGGGCCAGCAGATTCCCCTCTCTTTTGCCACAACTAAAATGGACACTGGCCACGTGTGGCAGCTCATGCCTGTCATCCCAGCACTTTGGGAGGCTGAGGCAGGAGGATCACTTGATCCCAGGAGTTTGAGGCCAACCTGGCTAACATAGTGAAACCCCGTCTCTACTAAAAATAGAAAAATTAGCTGAGCATGGTGGCGAGCACCTGTAATCCCAGCTACTTGGGAGGCAGAGGCAGGAGGATGGTGTGAACCCGGGAGGTGGAGGTTGCAGTGAGCCAAGATCACACCATTGCACTCCAGCCTTGGGCACCAGAGTAAGACTCCGTCTCAAATTATAAATAAATAAAAAATAAAATGGGCCAGAACAGTGGCTCACGCCTGTAATCCCAGCACTTTGGGAGGCCAAGGGGGGCAGGTCACCTGAGGTTGAGAGTTTGAGACCAGCCTGACCAACATGGAGAAACCCGTCTCTACTAAAAATAAAAAATTATCCAGGCATGGTGGCACATGCCTGTAATCCCAGCTACTTGGGAGGCTGAGGCAGGAGAATCACTTGAACCTGGGAGATGGAGGCTGTGGTGAGCTGAGATCACGCCATCGCACTCCAGCCTGGGTAACAAGAACAAAACTCCGTCTCAAAAAATAAATAAATAAATAAATAGAATTAAATAAAATGGACACTGGCCAGACATGGCGGCTCATGCCTGTAATCCCAGCACTTTGGGAGGCCAAGGCAGATCGCTTGAGCCCAAGAGTTTGAGACCAGCCTGGGCAATATAGCAAGACCCCATCTCTACAAAAAAATTAAAAAATTAACCAGGTATGGTGGCACATACATATAGTCCCAGCTACTCAGGAGGCTGCAGGGTACCATTATAACACTGTAGCCTCAACCTCGATCTCCTGACCTCGTGATCTGCCCACCATGGCCACCCAAAGTGCTGGGATTATGGCGTGAACCACCGCGCCCGGCCATAAGTCATGGATCTTAAAGGGCTTGGTGCAGTGGGAGCCTGGGAGTTGGTGGCGGGTCCTGCATTGGGATGAGACCTGGGAGAATTGGCCTCAGTGGGAAGAGGCCTGAGGCCGCCCCGGGCCCCTGAAGCGCAGCCAGGGCTGAGACAAGGCAGCTGGAGCGGCTGGCGTGGCCCTGCTCAGCAGGCCCATCAATTATTGACGCTCTCTGTGACAGGCATGAAGAATTCATGGGACAGGGGTGGGGCTGCCATGGACTTGTGGCATAATTGCAGCCAGCTCACGAGAGCCGCCTCCTGTGTTTTCGGGAATTTTGCTATCTGGTTGTTAAACAAAGGCATTATTTAACGTGACAGTATTAAACTTACAGTTAAGGCTGGGCGAGGTGACTCACGCCGCAATGTGGGAGGTCGAGAAGGGTGGACCACTTGAGGCCAGAAGTTCGAGACCAGCCTGGCCGACATGGCCAAACCCCTTCTCTAGTAAAAATACAAAAATCTGAGCCGCGTGCAGTGGCTCACGCCTGTAATCCCAGCACTCTGGGAGGCTGAGGTGGGCGGATCACAAGGTCAGGAGTTCAAGGCCAGCCTGACCAACATGGTGAAACCCCATCTCAACTAAAAATACAAAAATTAGCCGGGTGTGGTGGCATGTGCCTGTAGTCCCAGCTACTCGGCAGGCTGAGGCAGAAGAATTGATTCAACACAGGAGGTAGAGGTTGCAGTGAGCCAAAATTACACCACTGCACTCCAGCCTGGGCGAGAGTAAGGCTCTGTCTCAAAAAAATTTTTTTTTCTTTTATAGAGATGGAGGCCAGGGCTGAGCAAAAAAATTTTTTTTTTGCTTTTCAGGAAGCTGAGGGAGGAGGGTCACTTGAGCCCAGGAGGTCGGGACTGCAGTACGCTATGATCACGCCACGCACTCCAGCCTGGGCTACAGAGCAAGAACTTGTCTCAGACAAAGAAAACAAAATGCCAGGCGCGGTGGCTCATGTCTAATCCCAGCACTTTGGGAGGCCGAGGCAGCTGGATCACTGGAGGTCAGGAGTTTGAGACTAGCCTGGCCAACATGGTGAAACTCGAAATGCTAGAAACACACACACACACACACACACACACACC